TTTATGCACTTATTGTGTTACTTGTCATTGGCTTAAAGGTACGAAGTTCTAAGTTCGAATCACGGAATCACATAGTAAGTTTAATTCGAAAGTGCACTGGGCTTATCCCATGTAAAACAATATTAAAAAATTATCTTTATAAACTTAATTTCATAAATATCTTTACGTCAAAATTCACATAGGTACGTATGCTAAAGTAATCTTTGAAGATAAATAATTCAATTTTAAACGACCGTATTTACGGTTAATTTTATTAGGGCCAAAAGCTTTATTAGTTTTTATATTTTGTAATAATAAGGCCGTTTTTTTTCACCATTTCAAATGATTTGAGACAAATTTAATTAAATTTACTAAATAACAGAAATTGGAGGTGGCGTCTGTAGGCGCCACGAAACGGTCTTTGATACGCCGTAAACTAATCTTTGAAACCAATCATTATATCGCCATTTTTGGAATCACAGCCACATTTTGAACTGCTCTACTGAGAGAAGAATTAAATTTATTTTCTGAAATAAATTGACGAAGATTACATATTAAGTATTGTCTATAGTTTACGCAAGTAGCAAACATTTATAAAACAACAATATAAATCGCTTTTTAACGGTTTAAAACGCAAAATGTATAAGGTATTAATGTCGCGTCTTAAAGTAAATTTAAATAAGTTAACTAATATACTACGTTTTTAACCGTTGTAAGTGTTTTATGTAAAAACTTACAAGTTTACTATTTTGGGTGTAAATGTAGACCGTTTCCCCGCATGGAGCGAACACATTTCTATGGCCCATCATTTCGGATCTTTCGAAGCAGCCGTAGTCGCGAGGGGCAAAGTAAAAATTAAGGTAGGGCTTAGTTAACATTATTTGTAAATAATACGTTTTTCGATTTAATCCATTAAAAGTTTTTTTTTAAATACAAGGTGTTTATTGTAAGATTTGTGTTGTCAAATATATAAGTGTAACTACGAATCTGCAATCTTAGACTAGGTCACGATGGCGGTGACGACTGGAGGAGGGTAGGGCCCACATGGAGCTATACATCCGTTGATGATAATATAATTCGTCATACATTAAACTACGGTAAAGGTACACTTAAGTACTTGATTATCAAACAGTAGATATTCAATTGAATTTAGTATGTCGAAAGCCGAATAAGGTCGACTGCGCATCGTGCATGAATGTTACATGACATTTCACAATCATGTGAATTCTAAATTTGTTTATTTTCGTACAAAAAAAGAAAGAATTGAAACATTTTTTGGGTTTAAACTGTCTAGCTAGGATAGCTAGACAGTTTAAACCGGAAAAAGTTCGGAACAGTTGTTGTACCTAATATAGTGCGGAGGTATTTTTCATCTGTAAGATAAAACGTAAATTAAAAACATATTTAAATTGAAAAAAAAATTGAAACACAGCGATCCGTGTGGATGATCAAGTAACCGTGCCATCATGTGAAAGATAAAGTTTTACAAGACATTTCTTTGCATAACACTTCTTTTTTATACAAAAAGGTTTTTGGTCTGTAATAAATACAATTATATTTATTATTCAACATAGTCTTTTATAAATAAATAATTTATTTAATAAAAAAAGACACGTGCCGGTCTTGAACCAGCATCCAAGGCGCGTTTTGTTTTAATCAAACAGGTAAGCACGGCACAAAGCAGCGCGGAACTCTCTGGATGCCAGTTCAAGTCCCGTCCGTGTCGTGTTTTTTTAATTAGATATTAGTAAATACTGTATATAGTTTACACGAGTAGTATACATTTAAATAAAACACTTTAACGGTTTAAAACGCGAAACTGATTTTTAACTTCGGCCCGACGTTTCGGATGCTTTGCAGCAGCCGTGGTCACGTTTCATTCGTTTCGTTGGGCCGAAGTGAAATTTATTTTCAAATAAGTTTAACTAATATTTCGCGATTTAAATCGTTAAAGTGTTTTATTTAAACAGATTATACAATTTTAATATACATAACGCATCCATGTGCAATAACATAGGATTATTACAGTTTGTACGTAGTTGTTTAATGGTTCGAAGCCATGTCTCGAATGAGCTGGCTTTCCTATGAACGTAAATCCCAAACACTTTGCAACTGTGTATCAGACCACCGTCATTATAACCAGAGCAACCATCAATTTTTTGTGCGATCTTATGAATGATCACTGGCGGTTAAGTTTGCGAATTTCGTTATTCCTTTGTATTTTACGATGCAAAAAAATCGGCTTCCAATTTTACTTCACTGTAAATTTTACTTAATTAGCATGTTCGTTTTGACTGAGCGATTAGTTGTGAGAAATGATCTAACAGCAAACTCCTAGCGATTTTTTGTTGCCCTAAAATGTTGCGTTTTGTTTTAAAATGACGTTTTATGTTCTATTTATTTATTTTAGTCTGCAAGCGCTAAATTACTATTTATACTTCTGTACTTAATGTACATTCATGCAAATTAACGCTACATATGTACCTACTAAAATTGACCGCCTCTGAAGCTAAATGGTTTAACGTGTCGCCAAGCATTGCGTTAAGGTCCTGGGTACGAATCCCGGGGAAACAGTAAAAAATTGTTTCCGTCGGGCAGGGCACAGAAGTCTGATCAACTACTTGCCTCTACATAAAAAAAACGATCAGTGAAACGGACACAGAAATGTGTTCGCCCCATGCCCCACGAGGGGAAACGGGATTTCCACTACTACTACTAAAATTATAAGGCTGATTTTTTTTTGTTTACTAACTTCAGAAAGGCTATATATAAATAAAACAAGAGCTAAATATAAGAATATGTGGAAAAAATGAGGAAAAATATTCATCTTTGAGGGAATCCGGTGCGTGTGCTGCAAAAACGGCTCAAGATAACAACATTTTTTTTTAATGAAAGAGTATATAATTATTTTTTAAATGATCTAAATTTGTCCGCGACTTTTAAAGTTGGTGGGAGGATTTATCGAGGAATGCTTTAGCCTGTAAAATATTAGGCTGCAATAAATATATAATCTTTGGAAATGTGGAAAAATGGGGAAAAATGTCTTTGAGCGTTTTCGTTGGGTGCGCTACGAAAACGGTTTAAGATAGCACAATAATTACTTCATTATTTTTTAAATTAGGTATCTATGAACAAAATGTCCGCGACATTATATTTTTCATGATTATGTTACAATTACCGTTTCTATGAGAATAAAATTTTGTCGAATTATCTCCTTGGAAATAACGTATTTGATGTAGTTAGAGGTTCTTGTTGCGACCATGTTTGAGACATCCTTTGGACGCCTCGTGAGGAATTTACATCACGACTTTTATATTACACGTTAATCATACGCGTTACAGTGTAAGTGATAAATTATTAAGATAAAAGTCATAGGTGCTCTTAACTACCGTTCATAGTATTTTCGTAGTCTGATAAAATTTTAATGGCAATGTCGCGTGCTAAGATTGTGTGATAAGGAAGGACGTCTTGTGTTCTATTTTAATGCTTCAAAAGTTAATAATAAAAACTCTTTATTGTACAAACATAGACATAATAACATAAATACTTAGAATTATAATATGTACAACATAAAACATGTATGACTAAAAGACTAGGAAATGTTATAATTTCTCGAAAGTACTTTAACAGTTTAAACGCGAAATATATCAGTTAACTTATTCTTAATTATTTGATTATTAAAGTTAAGTCACTTAAAAATTATATATAGTTAAAAATATTTTTTTTAAAGTTTAAATGAAATATATCGCGTTTTAAACCATTAAAGTGTTTATTTAAATGTGTACTACTCGCGTAAACTACAGACAGTATTTAATTGATTATTGTTATTGTGTCTAATCTACAACGCTATCGACCATCATCGACGTCAGTAAAATGCAACAGACTCTGTAAAGATGATAATGGTATGACTTTACCAAAGGATCATAGACGAGATCCAAAAAACACCGATGATCACCTGTCCCAGTAACACCCAGAACGTTAAGCGCATCACGACTCGCCCGGAGCCAAGATGCTTATTAGAGTCGAGCCACGCACCTGTGTGAATATTTTCATAATCCTTCTAATTAGAGGTTTCGCGGATGTTCCCAAAGAACGCCGAAAGCCAAACGGTTGGGCCCCACTGTGGAGGCAATAAATTGTTCGACATTTGACCCGGCTTTTTTAGGAATTCGCCTTCGGGCTGGATCCCTGAGGTTTGGGAAAGTCAACAGAGTAGTTACAAGTTACGATAGATATTTAAGAGGTCAGTACTTGTTTAAAAATAGAATACTTATAATAACATAACAAAATAATTAGAAATGGTAAAATATGTATTTTGGTTACTGCTTGTTTTAAACGGTTAATGCTTTATTTAAGTATGTACTTAAATAAAACTGTTTAAGTAACCGTGGTCACGAGTGGACTTCAAAGCTTCCGAAACGCCGGATCTTGGTTAAAATAAAAATAAATAAAACACTTTAACGGCTTAAAAGGCGATATAAATTAGTTAAACTTACTTGAAAATTTATTTTTAACTACGGCCCCACGTTTCAGATGATTTCCAGCAGCCGTGGTCACGGGGAGACTAAAGATGGAGGATGTCTCTGACGTCAACGTAAAAACTACGCTAAGGCCAAGTTTAGCGTTTTAAACCATCAAAGTGTTTTATTTAAATGTGTACTACTCACGTAAACTACAGGCAGTAATTAACAAAAAATAAAAAAAAATAGAAAAATATAAGATACCTATTACGATATTAAGATATTGTAATTACTCAAATCTACATTCAGGATCACGCTAATAAGATTATATTATTTGGTGGTTTGTTTTTACAATAACCCCATTAAAAAAAAATACTGAAACGGCAGAAAAACGTATGCCATAGAATTATAATATTTACAATTTAATCCGAATTGGCATGTATTAGAACAATTTGTGACAAGTTATTACTAATTTTGATTTAAAGACAATTTAAAGTTTAATAATTTTGACCCATGGGTGAAAATGTGTTACGTCACATGACATTTACAGTTCGCAGTATCCTAAGCTAAGGTAATAGCAACTATCACCAATGCGTGGATACCATAAAACAATTTCCGTTCGACAGTCTCACATAAATCGGGGCCGAAGCTTGCTCTGTGCCCGCTAATGTCGAATATATTTATCGCAACGATCGTCAACTGCTCCGCCCGAGGGCTGCCCGCCTCGGATTTAGGTTCCCACGTGCTCTGAATGCTTGGATTGCGTGCGACCTCCTCCACCAATCTCGCGGACGAACAGGTTAAGAACACCGCACACAGGCTACAACCGAAACGACACAATGCAAGAATGGTATGTGTCTGAATATAAATAAATTACTTTTAACTTTATGTCACGGGGAGACACAGGGTGGGAGAGGTCCTCCGTGGTGGATGCAAAGCATCCGAAAAGTCGGGCACGTTTTAAATCGTTAGTGTTGAAAATACGTATTAAATTATATGCGCACTGTATGTTTACGTTGCAAATGTTTCTCCAATCTTTTCCCACTCTCTCTTTGTTTTTCTCTATCAAGTTTTCGCACCACCAATCCACTACTTGCAATCTGATTGCTCTATGTCCCACAAGAAAGAAGGGGATTTTCTTACATGATATGTATATACATGTTAGAAGTTTTGTGGAAGCGTTTGTCGTTTCGTTACGTGACGCGTTACGGCTTATAAACGTCTCGTTATCAAAACTAAATGGAGTCTAAAACCTGTTTTATTTCACTACATGCAGTTTTGACAAAGGATGCCCACACCTTACTAAGAAAATGTAAGAACACTATAGGAATTATGGTAGTGATGGCAGTTACTTCGCGGAGACTTGTGTACGTTGACCCTAAACCTGGATCATTATCGTAAACATCAACGGGTACAGCACCGTCACTTTTATCTCCTGAGCTTCTTTCGTCTGTAGCCTGTATGTTGGCTGCTTCAGTGGGTCTACCGTTCTGCTCGGGGCTAGTTTTGGAGGCGTTTCGGCCTTCGGCCTTTACCGTGGGATTATCCAGTTTTTTGTGGCGAGTGAAACTTTAGTCACGTACTTAATGGGATTAAATTGTTCCTATGATTGAAGTGCTTAGCGAAAATGTCATGTTGATATAGAAAGAAGAAAGTAACATCACTAATAATATACGAAAGGTAATCGATAATCCTGCGTTGAAGATAACAGTAAATCCTCTACAGTATGTTGAATTTCAGCCCTTAAAACCCTCCAGGATGTAAACATCTTCTGAGTCCAGCTGTGGGATATTGATAAATTGATTCAATCATAAAGAGATCTAAAACCATATCGGCCTTGATTATCTATACCAATTTTATAAAATGAAGTGTTTGTTTGAACGCGCTAACCCCTGGAACTGTTGATTCGAATTGAAAAATTATTCAGTGTTGTTTTATTTATTGTTCCAATGTTCTGTTTCAGGCTTTAAGCTATGAGAAATCAGCTTTCAACCAAAAGACGGGAAGAACGGTAGGACATGTAAGAAAACAGAAACGAAGATTCGTCGTTTTTGCCTAAAAAAGTCGTAGAAAAGAATTATACATACTACTTGAAATAGTCAAAAAACATTGTCGCCGGCAGTATGTCTATATTTCAAGACTAAATCACAAAACCCCGTTTTTGATATTTATATCAGTCGTCTACCGAATCTATTAATCGTTTGGGATTCGAACTCTGAACCTCGTTCCCAATATTAACCATTGAAAAAGGCAGCTTTCTTATAATGTAGACATTCCACATCCCAGTCCCCTGAGCCATTAAACAAAATGATTTCACAAAGAAATGGTATAGAGATGGTAATAGCACCGTTCAATATAAACACTATGATAACCCAAGAGTGATTACAAGCGTTTACCGAATTATTCGGTTCGATCAGGCAGTAATATTGTGAATGAATCTCTGGTATTTCTCTGGAACGCCACTTCGTAATCATAATGTCTGAAATGAGGAATTTTAATATAAGTACAGGCGTCGTTTGTTGAGGTATTTTGTATCTTTTATCTTTGATACTGTGACGTCACGAATTTCAAATAGCTTGGGAACTCAACTAGTTCATTTCGGTTCAAGCTTAGAGCTGGTATTATAATTAGGACTCGTTTCTTGTCGTTGTGCCTATTTCCAGGTACAACAAAATCTGAGAACTGAAATTTAGTTCCGGATATATAAACAAGAAACAAACAGACTTATTTAAGAAAATTGACGTCATATAACGAAAAAAAAACGTATTGCATGCTGTTGCAGAAACGCTGTTGATATGCCGGTTCAACTCTCGCGGATGTAAAACAAATATTTTAAACTTAGATAATTATATGTGAGACATATGAAAGGTTTCGAAAATTTACTTGATTTCTGTTATGATAAAGTTGGACAGTCAAGCATGGCTCTGGCTCACTTGAGATGGTTGTTTATTTATTTAATTACAGCTATTGATATTTGCCTTAAGACTAACTTATAGCTAAGAATTTATATCTAACATTCATCTCCTAACTTTCCCAACCCTGACACAAATATGTCACATTCTGGTGCAGAATTAAGAAATTTGTTGAGTAGTGATATCATGCGCGAAAGCTGGCGTAGTGTTGTACAGGATCGCGTTTCGGCCAAAAGTTGATGCCCATGAGACCGAATGTATTTGTCAGGAGCATAAGCCGCAGTAAACAAGGGAGTAATTGGATTGAATCCATTCTCCCCTGGTATATAGTAATATAGAAAGATGTTTGCATTTCATCGATAAGATTCCCACATAAATACTGCTGTTTTGGCTTTTGTTGTCAATGCTTTATGTACAAATAAACAAATAAATATAACATTTAAACAAGATGCGCTGTCGTCCTATATTATCTTTGGTTAATTAATAATTTTTCTTTAATATCACATCATTATTGATTCCCAATATAATAAGATACTTTTCCTTAACTCTGTCCCTCCAACCAGGGCGAACTGAAAAAACGACGTAATCCCAGAATACTTATAACGCTCCTCCGCCCCCAACCGCTTGATTCGTTTCAGCCTACTGCCAATTAGGGTCAATTTTCGGCTAGCACAAAGGTCCAGGCGACCACAGAACGGTAATTAAAACAAAAGGCCCGCCACCAGGCGCCACGGGTAGGCGAAACACGTCTCGCCGTCGCCGCAACCTACCCCCTCATTATAAACTTAATCTAATTATTGAATTCGTACAATGTTGTTTACATTTTTTTTTCTAATTTACCCCACTATACTTTGGGATGGATGCGCGAGCGCTAAATGGCACGTTTAAGGCAATATATCATACAAAATGGAGTCACTGTTGCGCCGACGGCGATTTTCTCACGCCGGGCTTTTATTTCCTTTATTACAGGTTGGTTTTGCCTCTATATAATGTTGGTCGATTAACTAGTAATACATTTTTTCGGGGTACGTAATGTAATAGGAATTTTAATGGAACAATACGTAGACAGATTGGGGTTACGCTAATAGATGTTATTAGATAGGTAGAGACGTATGTAGAGGTAAGTTGTGACTCATCTATACTAATATACAAAGCTGAAGAGTTTGTTTGTTTGTTTTGTTTCAGTTCGTCGTTCCTGCAAGTTAATCTTAAAAAATAGACATATAGCGCCGTATACTTTTTTTAGATCATTTAAAAACATATTCTTTGGGTATCTTGAACTGTTTTCGCAGCGTGATGTTTTATACCAAAGCACTGCGGTTTAAAACGCGATATACTTTAGTTTGAAGCTGTCCTCCCTGTTTGAATTTAAAAAACACCGAAATTTCAATAGGGATGACGCCTCAAATCTCATAATAAAAACTCTGGATTTCAATAAACAGTACACCGGCAGAAGCGAAGACACCATGAGTCAATTCTGCAAGGACCCGGCCAGTTTCGTCAAATACCAACTTCGCCGGACATCCTCCATCTTGAGTCTCCCCGTGACCACGGCTGCTGCAAAGCATCCGAAACGTCGGGCCGTAGTTAAAAATAATTCTCAAACAAGTTTAACCAATATCAATAATAATTATACTATACATACCGTTCAATAAAACAAACTTTCAGCTTTATAATATTAGGGTAGATTGTATTGTCGTGAGTTCAGTAGTCTTTGAGTTGCTGACACGGCCGCTAGACGGTCCACTTTGATTATTCATATCTATTGTCCAATGAACTCCACGAAACCCTTCTGGGGGAAAACTATACAAAAAAAGGCTCGTGGGAAGAATTAGTATCCCAGGTCAGCCTAGCGACCTCTGTGGGCAAATTACAAGTCGGCGACGAACGTGATCGATTTGACAGCGATTTGTCGATATATGACATGTAATTGTATGCTGCGAAGACGACCGTCAGGTTTAGTGATTCATTTGGTTATTACAATGGGGGTTGGCATTTATAATTTCAATAAACGTTTATTGAAAATATTATTACTTTCAATAAACCACGTTTTTATTGTGTAATCGCAAAAACAAAGACATAGTTCTAGGTTCGATCCCCGCCGGGTTCGACATGTTTCTAATCAATTTATATTTTTTCTGAAACATACTTCGTTAGGAAATACATTAATTTTAAAATATTTGGTAGGACTAACGAAATTCCGTCCGGTATACAGATGAAAAAGCGTCAAATTCAATGGCGTTGCGTGCCAGTCTGTGAATATCCTAATATCCAAAGCCAAAATCGGTCGACGGCACATCTCTTTAGATATTATATGGCTGTTTTACCTAACGACAAGTGAACCCTTTGTTTGTGTGTCCGCCACTTTCGTAAGAAGGAAAATTGTTATACATTTTTTAAATAATTGTAAGTATATAAAGTTTCTGAGTTTCTTTTATTATTTAATATCCGGCTGAATATTTCAAAGCAAAATAATTCAACGAACGAAAACAATCCATTTTGTCTCCTAAACATCGAACAAAATTACAGTACAATTTTAAACCTGAACCATCGAAAATACATGAGAATTTTAATTTTTAAAAAATAAGACTTAACTGAAGTAGTGTAACACGGTTGCATTGCTACATTTAAATTACAAGGCGTTACATTTCTAATCACCCATTTTTATCTCAAATTTTTAATCTCCCATACTTTTAAATTAACAAACTCAATCCCGTTTTAGAACCCCTTCATTCTTAACATGGACTACTCTTAAGGTAACTTCACATAATAAATTACTATATTTTTTAAATCGCACCTACATTCATCGCTACCAATAAACATTTGAGTTATAATAGCCTATCTATACCTCCATTCTATTCAACAGTAAATTGTTCGTGATTGTAAATACGTAGTGCTCATTTATGTACAGTAAAACAAGGAAGTCCAAGATAATAAATAACATTGAATGCGAGTTACTTGCATATGCATTAGGCTCTACAATACGCATATCTACTGGACGTCATCAAGCGAGGCATGGGGTCAGCCTTACATAACCATCAGATACTATAGGCGTGGCGGAAAGGCGGGCTCCGCATTCTAAATTCAAATTGCTTGTTACTCACGCTAATTGTATGCATTATGTGTGGTAGGTATCGCTTAACTCTGTGGTAGTAACGTAGAGCACATCTATTTCTGGAGTATCCGTGGTCGTATCGACCGAGAAAAGCAACGCTTCAAGTATTACTTAGTTTTACTTGAATTCCAGAATTTACAGAAAAAATATAAAAAAATACTTGAATTTTGAATTGAACAATTTCTTAAATATAATAATTAGTTGGGTTAATAACTATTTGACTTAAGTGGTGTATTCGTATGTGTTAGTCACTAGAAGTGAATAAACAAAAAAAAAAAAAATACAATACAGTAGAATATTTCTAACAATATTATGTAAAAGCTAGCTGACAAATGTAGTTTTGCCATGTTTATTATTTTTAGTATGTAACGATTTTTAATTATATCAGTGAAAGAGACACATTCATTTATTACTTTATTGACACCGGTAGACGCCTGGGAGGGATACAGTACCAAGTGATAATTGATCAGTTACCGAGTGGGATTACAAATAATAAAACTACTAAAAGACCTATTAAACATAGGGGTTGTTGCAAAAAGGGTGAATATTGAGGATTTATTTTACAATGCAACATTTAAAAATATATTACGATATCTCTAGTATGAGAATAGATCGGGTATGAAAATAAATATTAACCGATTCTCAAATCAACTGAATATCTAAATAAAATTTGATAAAAATCGGTTGAGCCATTTAGGGAAAGCATGGTACTTAGGACTGTGACACGGGAATTTAATATATGATAATAATAAGCTATAAATCTTAATTAATAATAAAATTAATCTTAAAATCGGTGAGAACTAAGAAAATTAAGTTGGTTTTTTACTGATATAAGTAACTAAAATAAAACAACACCTAGGTACTACTGTAGCCATTTTTTTATTTGAGTGTATTTATATGTACCTACACTACGGCTTACTATTAAAAACGAAATGTTATAAATATTATATTATAAATATCTAAAACTTCATGCTAATAAAACAAATACAAAATGTAGTCGTCATTTCATTGTACAAGGTCAATAAATAAGAGGAGATAATGATAACTCATCGAAAGTGAAAATTAAATTAAATGAACACGAAAATAAAGATCGGTTGCGTGTTTTCCATCACTTAATAATCGCTACTTTAAGCTTAAGAATATCTCAATCTGATTCAATATATTGATTGCTATAATAAACTTTGTTGGTTTAGATTCAGTGTTTTGTCCGACGAGATATGTGGCCACGAAAAGTGCGACTAATTGTAACTTAATTAATCGTTATAAAGTATTGTATAGTATATAGGTAAAGGTTTTATATCTAATAGGCGTGGTGTATAATTTATGCCTATTACGGGTAGTAGCTTCGTTTCCAGCCAGATCTAACCTGAAATCAATGTTTCCCCTTTTTTTACTAGTAGAAGGTAGGAATTTGAAAATTATTTCCGGGTCATGAGGAAAAGACGTA